GATGGTCTAGATCTATCTCACTATGTCTCTGCATCTGGAATATTTAACGATTCTCTATACAAAAGTAGCAGGGTAGAACTTAAGCTCATAACAGATATGGATAAGTATCTGATAGTTAAAAATGGAATCCGTGGAGGAATGACAATGGTATATCATAGATATGCCAAAGCAAATAATCTGCAATGTTCAAACTATGAGTTCAGCAAGCCGAAGTCTTGGGTCTTATATGAAGATATGAATGCCTTATATTCAGGTTTCTAGATAAGGTAAGTCCAGAGGAAGTACCCGATATCCAAAGTATTGCACCAGATACAGAAATAGGCTATTTACTTGAAGTTGATTTAGAAGCTTCAGTGCACTTGTATGATTACTTTTCAGATTATCCTTTAGCACCAGAAAAGCAGATAATACTAGAAAACTGGCTTAGTCTATACAATAAAATATTAGTGCGTGATAAAAATGTTGGAGAAGGGAAATATGTATCTGGAGAAAAGCTAGTTCAGACTCTTTTTACTAAGAAGAATTATATAGTTCATTACTGAGCTCTCCAGATATATATAAAGTTCAGAATGAAGGTTACAAAGATTCATAGCGCTCTCAAGTTTAGATAGTCTCTGTGGATGAAGGAATATATTGAGGAAAATATTTGTAAACGCAAAATAGCCAAGGCAAATAGGGATGAGTTTGGGGTCGTGTATTATAAGCTAAAAAATAATGCAGTCTTCGGCAAGCAGATGAAGAATGTCCGTAAACATATGAGAGTAGAATTACTTTGAACAGAAGAGGATAAAAAAATCAGGTGCCTAGCAAGTTCACCATTGTATATAGGCTTTAAAGCATTCGAAGGGGGTATCACAGCAGTCTACATGTTAAAAAGCACAGTGACTCTAAACAAACCAATCTATATAGGGCAGGCAATTCTCGATATTAGCAAGACCATGATGTTTAACTTTTGGTATGGTTATATAAAGCCTCGCTATGGAGATAAGGCCTATCTACTTTATACTGATACAGACTTGCTCATTATGTGGATAGAAACAGATGACATCTATAAAGATTGAGCAGAGAGGCCAAACATTTTTAATCTTAACTATTCAGGTGATTTATTTCTAATGAAGAATGAGACAATGGGCATATCTATAGGGGAAACAGTATGTTTAAAGCCAAAGATGTACTCAGTCCTTCCAGTGGGATATGATCCTAAAACTTCCGATGACCCAAATTCTGAATACCCTAAAAAGAAGCACAGTATCTAAAAGGCAAAAGGTGTAAAGAAAAGTGTGGTCAAAAGTAGAGTGCGGAAAAAAAAGCCTGGTTGATTTCTGAAATTTTGAAGGCTATAAAAACAATGTTCCACAATAGGTGCTTAAGCCGAACTTATTATATGTAATTAGTATGATCTGGGCCCGACCCGGTTAACTTTGAAGACTTGTTACTGGCAGCAGGCATGTGAGAGATACAAATGAGACCCATTTGCTAAAAGTGTGTTTATCATACTAATTACATATAATAAGTTTGGCTTAAGCACCTATTGTGGAACATTGTTTTTATAGCCTTCAAAATTTCAGAAATCAACCAGGCTTTTTTTTTCATACCCTAGTCAAAAGAGAGCTTCGACATGATAAATTTCTAGAATGTCTTAGGAATAAAAAACTAACTCAGCATAACATGTACGGTCTTCGCAGTTATGATTATCAAATATATCTGGAAAGGGTGAATAAGATAGGGTTAAATCCATATGATAACAAACGCTGGATCTTACTTGATGGA